TGGCATAAGGCCTAGACATGGTATCTAGCATGATTCACAATAAATCTTTCTAAAGCACATAAAGAGCATATAGCTACAACAGGTTGTTAAACTTTACAATTTCTACGGGACGGACCAAGTCTCAAATCCTCAATGGTGCACGCCCATACGACCGTCATCTATCATGTGCGTCACCTCCAAATAGTCACATGACACAAAAATCTGGGATTTCATAACCTCATGACTAGATTTACAATCGTTACTTACCTCAATCCGAGCAAATCTATACTCTGCAATGCCCTTGCCTCTCGAATTTGCCTTCGAGCATCCCGAATCTAGCCACAAGCAGCACAATACCATTAATATATGCTAAAGGAATCAATTTCACAAAAATACTACTAAATTACATTCAAAGCCCAAAATCGACTCCAATCCGATCCACGTGCCCACGTATCAAAATCCGACAAAAGTCCCAAAAACCCGAAAGCCCATTCACTCATGATGTAGGAATGCCTGGACATGACTGCGAAAGCGCACCTGCGCATCTCCCTCCGCTTCTGCGACCATCGAAGGTGCAAGAACTTCATCGCAACAACGCCTTCTGGCTAGCTCCTCCAATCTCGTATCTGCGATCTCCCGCTCGCTTTTGCAGGCTCGCACCTGTGATGAGACATCCGCAGGTGCGATTATGATAGCTGAGTTAAACTTCAACAATTCCTCCAATTTCCAAACTTGTTCCGTTAATCACTTGAAATTACCCTGAGGCCCTCGGAAACTCAACCAAACATACCAACATATCCCACTATATCATACGAACTTAGTTGAGCCTTTGAATCACTCAAAACAACATCATAACTCCAAATTACCCTCGGATTCAAGCCTAAGAACTTCTAAACTTTCAAATTTGACAACCGATGCCGAAACCAACCAAACCATGTCTGAATGACCTCGAGTTTTACACACACATCACAAATGACACCACGAACCCATTCTAACTTTCGGAAATACATTCCGATCCTGATATCAAATTTTCCACTGTCGACCGAAATTGCATAATTTTTAACTTTCGCCAATGCAAGCCTAATTCTACCACATGCCTCTAAATCTCATTCCGAATGCACTCCCAAGTCCAAAATCACCTAACAGAGCTAACAAAATCATCAAAATTCATATCCGAGGTCGTTTACATATAAGTCAACATCCGATTGACTTTTCTAACTTAAGTTTCTACTTTAGAGACTGAGTGTCTCAATTTACTCCGAAACAACTCCAGACTCGAACCAACTAACCCGATATATCATAATATAGCTAAAAAGCACAAAAAGAAGCAGAAATGGGGAAAATAAGGCTATAACTCTCGAAATGACCGGCCAGGTCGTTACAGTACCCTATCAAACACAATAACACGCGAGGGTTGTCTTTTACACCCCTTCGAACCTTCTTTAAAAATTACTTATCTTAAGAGAATGGCTTTGTCAGGTCAACTAAACATAGGTCATATTGCATAAACCTTAGGTAGGTCAGTCCTTGGCATCGACACACAATTAGGAAAGTCACCCTAATGCCAACGGGCATGCACCCAACGACATGACTTTGTGAAAAGACAAACTAATCATGATGAGACACTTAAGACCCAAAGCAAACATTTATCAAACCTATTTTCTCTACCCTCTTGAGAAATGGAAATCAACCAAAACATCCCCAAGACCAATATGGTGATGGGAGCACCGCATAAGCTAAAGTAGTGGTGGAAAAACATCCGTTGAGAGTATGGAGACCAAATCAGGGCACACCTAGGAGCATTGACTGCCTTGCTAAACATTAGGGATGACAAGGTGCTTACTTGCTTACTGATAGAGTTTTGGGACCCGGCCAAAGTGTTTTACATGTTTGCTGATTATGAGTTGGTGCCAACGTTGGAAGAAGTTACCGGTTTCACTGAACTGTCATTTACTGGGAGGAAGCTGATACTACCGGTCACCATGCCCGGCTGCAGGTTTCTCGATGCTTTGGATTTGGCAAATAGTCAAGGTTTAACAAATATTGAAGATGGATGGGTAATCGTGGACCAATTGCTCGGTAGGTTCGAATAGCGTGAAAGCTATGAATGGTATTTGGGAGAATTTCAGTGTGATCAGGCAACTTGGGAATGTCTCCGACCCATAGCCTTCTCTTTGGCATTACTGGGATTGCTGGTTTTCCCGCAAAGAAGAGGACAGATCAATATCAACTTGCTGCTTGTGGTTTTGGCAACATATTGGGGCAACCTCCAAGCCACTTTGGTACCTATGGTATTAGCAGAAATTCTCAGAGCATTGTCTGCATGTTCCCAGGGCTATGATTGCTTCAAGGGTTGCAATCTATTGCTTCAAATCTGGGCCACTGAGCACTTATTTCAAAGAGAGCCCACGGTTGACTACTTTGTGGGCTCTAGTAACATGATTCAAAGTCACAGTGATAGAATGAGACATTGGGCCTCCCCGCACGGACAGGAAGAGGAGAGAGTTGCTGACCAACTTAAGCGGAGAGTGGATCAACTAGAAGCTATCGTGACCAAGAGGCAGGGCAATCCTAAGGACTCCCCAGAAGTATTTTATCGAGCTGATAGGACTCGAGGGCATTGGGCCATACTCACCCCTACGAGTTCTTAGAGAGTTCGGGTTGATTCAGGATGTACCTCTCTGGACGAGGACGACATTTTATGAAGATGAGTACAGTGGGAAAATCTTGATACCAAGGATAAGGAGGCTTCAGGAGGAGTGGAACGATCTAGTCACAATGTCAATGGGTCAGAATTCGTGGTGCATTCCAGAATAGTATGTCTGGATCAATTAAGAAGATGAGCTAGCCCGACCAAGCCGGAAAGGAATAGCATGGCTGGATGATGCAGTGATGGCTTTGCAAATCTATCATGAGATTTTACCACACTACCTCGTGACTACCCCCATGTATCGCCAAGTGGTCTCGGGGTCAATTGATCACATTCTGCTACCTCTCGATGATGATGACTGAGTTGTTTAATCTATACATATTGAGTTTGAGACAGAACCAGAGGAAGACCCAGAAGAAGTGCCTGAGTTCAATGATGATGAATACGAATTTGAAGAAGACCCGGAGGAAGAACCGAAGGAAGAAGAAGAGATGGGGAATGATTCCGGAGATGGTTATTAGAAGTCGGTTAATTTCACCCCTTTTCCCACTTTGTATCTTTTATCATGAACCTTCCCTTTACCTAAGGGCAAGTTTATTTGAGCCCATATAATCCTATGAATGTTGAAAACAATGATGTAACCTTTGCTCCCGCCTATTACAATCCAATTATTATATATGAAAAGCAAAAATTTGCTTCGGATCTAAATATGTCAAATATAATTATTTGTGAAATATTCGCGATTTAGACCTACCTATGGCAAAGAGAGGTCCCACGAATTTTAGGAAACGCATTTTCCTGAATACGTGAACTAACTACTCTGTGTTCCCATACTTGTGCAAACACTAAAACTGACTTCTGTTCTTTTTTCTTTTCTTTTCTTGTATTACTTTGTTATTATTCCGCAAAAGAAAGTTGGTTTGTGTTGACCCAAAACTGGCGGAGCCACCATACAACTTGAGATCGAAAGGGAAGATGACTGTGACAAATAACTCATCCGAACACGCCTTGGTGATATCTGGTAGCTCGAGGCGACAGGGAGAGAAGGATGACACAAAGAATGACGAAAATAGGGCTAGGATGGCCCAAGAGATGGAATCATTGAGGGAGGAAGTACAACAAATTCGGGAATTGGCACATCTGGCCATGACGATGATCCCACAACCACCCCATTTTCCTTCCTTAGATTCAATTCTCGATAACTTTCCTTCCACTACTCATCAAGCTAACAATACCCTCACTTCAGTCTCTACTACCCAGATCATTCCCACAGTAACCCCTGCACACCCACCAAACCCTTCCATACACACCCCTTACGTACCAAATTACGTTCAAACACCTCAAAACATACTAGTTGCTACCAACAAAGTTCGCACCCCTCCTCGTGATGGCGTCACTTTCACCACTAACCAAAACCAGCACATACCCATGGCACATACCGCTGTACATGAGTGATATGTTCCTCCCGTATATGTCATTTTAGAACCCACCTTCACAGTGCCCGTCACAATCAGGTTGCCTTATGAAGTTGATCAATAGGCCGAGATAGAAAGGGAAGCTAAATATAAGGAGGAAGAATCAGTGTTTGAACAATTGCAAGCACTGGGAAAACAAATGAAGAACCTTCAGGTCGCTCGAGGGAGTGATACTCTAGATTATGAGGATCTTTGTATCCACCCTGATGTGGACATACCAATAGAAACCCAATAGCAACACCTTGGCTACCATTTTATCACCTGCATGATGACCACCGTAAGGCGATACATGACAGTCATGTAAGATAGCATTTATTTCAGATTCAGGCACACATCTTCTCATTAACTGATCGGTACAAGATTTGAACATAAACGGCTCATCCCACACATATGATCTCACATCTCGCAAGAACTTCTTTTTAGCATGAGGTTCAGGTCAGGCATCATTTCTCCACTTGCCAGATAGATTACAAAATATGCATACCATGGCACCTCCCCTGTAGGAACGACCAACAATTGCTCATCCGGGAAGGTTTCCCTCAGCTACATGATTCCGAGTTTCTAACCTGGACAAGTGATCAGCCAGTTGATTCTCTATTCCTTTACGGTGATCTCCAAGTCAAATTCCTGCAAGAGTAAAACCCAATGGATTAGCCTTGGTTTAGCATCTTTCTTTTTCGAACAAATACCTGATGGTTGCATGGTTTATGTAGACGATGACTTTGGTGCCAACCAAATAGGACCGAAATTTATCGAACGCCCACACTACAACAAGCAACTCCTTTTCAGTCATAGTATAATTTATTTGAGCAGGAGTGAGAGTCTTGCTTGCGTAGTATCACACATCAGCTCGAATGGCTCGTTCCAGTCATGAGCCACTATGATTGGTACACTCACTAACTTCTTTTCAGCTTCTCAGATTCTTTCGGACAAGCATCGTCAAACATGAATGGCACATCCTTCTCTAACAACCTGCACAAATGAGAGTAGATTTTTTAGAAATCCTTTATAAATCGGAGACAAAAGCCTGCATGTCCCAGTAAACTCCGAACTCATTTCGCTGAAACTAGCGGCGGAAACTTTTCAATTGCTTCCACCTTAGCCTTGTCAACTTCCATTCCATCTTTGGACACCTTGTGCCCCAGCACTATACCTTCACGCACCATAAAATGGTACTTTTCCCAATTCAGTACCAGATTAGTCTCCTCGCACCTAGCAAGCACTTTAGCAAGATTGGTCAAGCATTCATCAAAAGAGGGACCAAACACATAAAAATAATCCATAAAGACCTCAACACATTGTTCCACCATATCGGTGAAAATAGCCATCGTACACCATTGAAAAGTCGCATGTGCATTATATAATCCGAATGCCATTCTCTTAAATGCATATGTGCCATAAGGGCATGTAAAAGTTGTCTTTTCTTGATCTTCGGGGGCAACAGCAATCTGATTATACCCTGAATAGCCGTCAAGGAAACAATAACATTCCTGTCCGGCTAACCTGTTAAGCATTTGATCAATGAAGGGGAGAGGGAAGTGATCTTTTCGTGGAGCATTATTCAACTTCCTATAATCTATGCATATTCGCCCACCAGTCACATTCCTAGTTGAGATTAATTCATTTTGTTCATTCACTACAATAGTCATACCCCCTTTTTAGGTACAAATTGTACAAGGCTTACCCACCTACTATCGGAGAAAGGAAATACTATACCTGCGTCGAGCCATTTAATCACTTCTTTTCTTACCACCTCTTTCATGATTGAATTTAGGCGGCATTGATGTTCCACGCTAGGCTTGTGTCCCTCCTCCATTAGTATTTTGTGCATGCAAAATGCAGGGCTAATACCCTTTATGTCAAACATAGTCCAACCAATGGCATGCTTGTGCTCCCTCAATACCCTTAATAGCTTTTCTTCCTGCAAGTTAGACAAATGAGAAGAAAAATCATAAGCAAAGTGTTAGAACTTCCCAGATATGCATAATGAAGATGAGATGGTAAGGGTTTAAATTCCAGTTTCGAGGCCTCCTCAACTGAGGGTTTAGGGGCGGGCCGATTGGCCTATCAAGAGGCTCAAATTGAGATCTTTCTCTTATGTATTCATAAGATGCATCCAGAATTTGCAACATCTCCTCAACCTCTTCTTCAAGTTCCAAGTGATTGAATAACATCAATGCCTTTTCTAGTGCATCTTCTTTAAACGCACTTGGCTCCACAACTGGTTCATTTATCTCCAACACAGAAATCTTGGCAAGGTCATCGTAATGACGAGGCAACTAAATGGCTCGATATATATTTAATACTTCTACTTCATTATACACCCTCATGATCATCTTACCTTCTCAGACTTTGATAATTGCATTTCCAGTGGCCAAGAGAGGCCGTCCCAAGATGATTGGAACTAACTCATCAGCCTCGTAGTCCAGGATGATAAAATCTGCAGGGAAAATAAACTTTCCAATCTGTAGAAAGACGTCTTCAATCACCCCCTCAAAGATAAACATAAGATCTATCAGCTAACTGTAGAATCATCGTGGTGGGTCTCAGAGCTCCTAAGCCCAATTGTTTGAACACTGACAATGTCATCAGATTGATACTTGCACCTAAATCACACAAGGCTCTACCCACGTCGATCACACCAATCCTCACGGGGATGGTAAAACTACCCGGATCCTTAAGCTTTTGTGAAAGCTTGTAATGATTCCTGGAAGTGCACTCCTCAGTAAGTGCGATGGTTTCAAACTCAGTTAACCTCCTTTTATTTGCCACTATATCCTTAATATATTTTGCATATTTTGGGACATCACAGAGCATGTCCATCAAAGGGATGTTCAAGTGTATCTGCTTTAGCATATCTAGAAATTTGTGAAACATGTGGTCATCATTCTTCTTTCTCAATATTTGAGGAAAAGGGGTAGGCACCCGCTCTGATATATGCTCAGACTCTATTTTGTTTTTCTCATCTACCTCTACAGGTTTTGGCACTCTTTCTTTTTCGAGCCCAGACGGCTCCATTTTCTTCTTAGGCACTTCTACCAACTCTCTCCCATTTCTCAACGTCACTGCATTGACTTGAGAATTTTTCTCTGTCTCACTTGGGAGAGCTCCAGCAGGTCTAGTGTTCTGATTGTTATCCATTTTCCCAAGTTGTCTCTGTAGATTTCTGAACTCTGTGCATAATTGTTCATTCTCAACCCTAACTTGTTGGTTCTCTGACATAACTTTCTGATTGTCTATCAAGTGCTTTTTCATCATGTCAGTCAAACTTTCCTCTACTTGCTGTGGTAGTTTAGGTGGCTGACTGTAATTAGCTTGAGGCCTATTATTCTGATTACCACCCCAAGAGAAGTTCGGATGATCCTCCAGTTTGGATAGTATGTGTTACCATATTTAGAATTTTGATTCATCGTCCCTCTATCTTGTTGCTCCATATAGTAGATGGACTCATGATTCGCGGGGCATATGTCACTTGTGTGACCTTTACCACATAACTCGCAGCAAGTAGACATCTATTGCACATGTTGCATCTTTTGCGCTTGGTGCATTGTCATTTTATTCATCTGATTTTCTTATCTCGCTATATCTGCCCTCATAGCTAAGAAATCATCAAGCTCAATTACACCTACTGCCTTCTGTTTACGTCCTCTTTGTGGTTTCCCATCTCTTTGCCAATTATTATCATTAGCAGTGAAATTGTTTAGCATAATCTGGATTTCACTATACGGGCTTGCCATGCATCTACCCCCACATGCTGAGTCAAGATTCTTCTTTGATGTCTCGTCCAACCCATTAATGAAAGTGTGACCCAACACCTAATCAGTCTGACAATGATGTGGGCAGTTTCTGAGTAGCTTCTTGTATCTTTCCCAAGCTTGACGAGTAGTCTCGCCATCTCGTTGTAGAAACCCAAGAATCTGGCTCCTCAGCGACTTTGTCTTCTTAGTGAGAAAAAACTTGATTAAGAATTTTCATGCTAGATCATCCCAATTGTGGATCGAGTTTGTGAGCTCCTTCTGCAACCATTCTTTGGCTTCCCCCAGAAGTGAAAAGGGAAATAGCGTCAGTCTGACGTATTCTTTGGAAACATCCGGATAATTATAAGTATCCATCATTTCCAAAAAATTCTTAATGTGTCATTGCGGATATGCATGAAATAGACCCACATACTGCCCTGTGGACTGAATCAGTTGTACCATGTACTGTTTGAACTCAAAGTGGACCGTTATATTAGGCTTCACTATAGCCTGAGTCATATTATCAAGATTAGGCCTTGCAGCCTCTATCACTAGTCGCTCTTCATTACCTACCATCTCTAGTGGATGAGGTTGAACTATGATGTCCAACTCTCCTTCTATTCTAGTTCTAGATTCGACTTCCCTCCCTACCCTGCGAAGAGTTCGTTCTATTTCAGGATCAAGAGGAAGGAGGTTGTTCGAGCTTCTACTCCTCCGCATCCAAGAGAAGAGCCTGCGTTAACACAAATAAAGCAAACTGAAAATTAAAACATGAACAAATAACGAATAAAATCTTAACTTAAATAAACAATCAATAACTAATTCCCCCACAAAGGTGCCAAAAAATTATTGGTTCCCCAAGTACACGCAAGAATACGTGGCCGTTATGTAATAAAGTGACTCGAACGTCGGATGTCGAACCCATAGAGACTTAGATTAATTGTTACTTAAGCAAAATAAAATCAATTAACTGTCTAAGATAATCAAAAATATTCTTTTACTACTAACCTACTTTTGTAGAAGTTGAACAAGTAATTCGCTAATTTATCAAGGATGCAAACATGTGTTTTTGGATTTTACTCAGATGAGATGAAGATTATAGGGTTGTGGTCGATTTATCAATCTTATTAAGTTCAATGACCACACTTGTTAATCCAGATTATCAATGGTTGCTAATTGACCGGATCGTTTATATGAATAGCATGTTCCCACAATACTACTCGTCTATCCATAATATATCAATCCTATATTCCTATGGTATTAAGTCTATCATGAGCGAATATAATAAGGTATTCAACTAAGAAAGACTATTAGGTATATTCCTATCCTAACCACGAAATTCTTACCCGAGCCACGAGTTCAGAAACAAGCTCTCTTTCATTATACTCTAATCTAAACACGGCTTTCGCAAGCATATCATAGATAGGAGGGTGAATTGGTAGCTATAACAATTCACAAGTTAAAACTAGAATTAAAGAAACAACCACAAGATGATAATCTGAATTAAGGAATATGTAATTAATAAACATTAATAATCATGTCAACCACAACCCTAGAAACTAGAGTGCTTAGCCACTCATGTTCGTAGTAACAATTTTTCAAGTATTTTGCATAAACAAATTACAAAGAAAAGTTGAAGAAATGAAGAACTCGTCGATTTTCTCCACCAAAAGTTGTTCCACGTGATGTTCTTGCCTCCAAAATAATGTCCCTAAAATCTTCTCCCTTCCAAAGTAGTGTATCCCCCTTAGGGTTTGTTAGGCGAATTGGGCTTCTCCAAATTCGGATGAGAGAAGCTGATATTTTCTGCTCCGATCCCGGTCTAGCGAAGTGAACCTCGCTTCGCTGTTCGGTACTTTTCTGGTTTCTTCTGCTCCGGTCCCGGTCTCACGAGGTGAACCTCTCTTCGCTGTCCGGGACTTGGGAACCAAAGTTATACTTCCTCCAAATTCTTTCGTTTTTACTTCACTTTGCATGAAAACTTTCCAAATCACTTCCAATTGACTCATACACATATTAATAACATTATTAAGCTCGAGTCACAAATATTCACACAAAATTACCAAGATCGAGATATAATGAAAGGAAAATTACCTGCAAAAATATGGATTTTTTGCCAAACATCAATTATCGAGACCTTAACAAGGACATCCCAAAGGAAAATTTTCCTTTACCAAATATTCATATCCTTATCGACAACTACGCGAACATGAGCTGTAATCATTCGTGGATTGTTTTGCTGGGTACCATCAAATCCTGATGCATGAAGAAAACGCACATAAAACACCGTTCACTACGCCTTAGGGAGGTTACTGCTATAGAGTCATGTCATTCGGCCTCAAGAATACAATCTACTTACATTTGGGCCATGATAACCCTCTTTCACGACATGATTCAAAAAGAAATTGAGGTATATGTGGACGATGTCATCATCAAGTCTCGAAAGAATTCGGAACATTTGGATGACCTGAAGAAGCTTTTCGAACGCTTGCGGAGGTATAGTTTGAAGTTGAACCCTGTGATATGCGCATTTGGAGTCCCTTCTGGAACATTGCTAGGTTTCATCGTAAGCAGGAAATGGAAATAACTACATCCTTCAGAGATTAAAGCCATTCAAGAGTTGCCACCGCCCAAGAGCATGAAGGATGTGATGAGTTTCCTTGGCAGACTATACTACATCAGCATATTCATATCCCATTCCACGGCGTGTGAACCTATTTTCAAGCTGCTGAAGAAGGATCCTGCTACAAAATGGGCAGAAGAATGTCAGAAAGCCTTCAATAAGATTAAGGAGTACTTGTCAAATCTACCTGTATTGGTTCCTCCAGAGCCCATGAAGCCACTATTATTATACCTGTCAGTTTTAGATAATGCATTTGGATGCGTGTTAGGACAACACGATGAGACCAGAAGAAAGGATCATGCTATCTATTACTTAAACAAGAAGTTCACACCATGTGAGGCCAAATACACTTTGATAGAGCGCAGTTGATGTGCCTTGACTTGGATCTCCCAGCAATTGAGGCATTACATGTCAGCATACACCACACATCTAATAACTCGGCTTGACCCGTTCAAGTATATCATTCAGAAGCAGATGCCTTTAAGAAAACTGGCCAAATAGCATATTCTCCTAAGCAAATTCGACATTGTGTACATAACACAGAAGGCCATCAAAGGACAGGCCTTAGCTGATCACCTTGCAGAGAATCCAGTGGATAAGGACTATGAACCACTCACTACATACTTCCCAGACGAAGAAGTGTTTTTCGCCAAAGAAGATATTGCAGAATCATACCCAGGGTGGAGAATGTTCTTCGATGGAGCATCGAATTTCAATGGAGTAGGAATTGGGGTAGTCTTAATTTCAAAATCAGTACAACACTACCCGACATCAACAAAGATAAGGTTCCCTTGCACCAATAATATGACCGAGTACGAAGCATGCATCCTCATAATTAGGATGGCAGTTGACAGGAACAACAAGGCGTTTTTGGTCATAGGAGATTATGATTTGTTGATACATCAAGTTCAAGGATATTGGACTACCAAGAATGTCAAGATACTTCCATACATGCATTGTGTAAAAGAGCTATGCAAGAAGTTCACAAAGATCAAGTTCAAGCACATTCCCAGGATTTAGGGATTAACATGCATAATATTTTCATATAGACAAAGAGCCAGACGGCAAGCCATGGTACTACGACATTAAAAGATTCCTTGAAACAAGAATGTATCCAAATAATACTAGTAATAGTCAGAAGCGAGCGATCAGGAGGCTGGCAAATCACTTTTTCCTCAACGAGGAAGTCCTATTTAGGAGGACCCAGACTTGGGTCTGTTAAGATGTGTAGATGCCGCTGAAGCAACAATACTACTAGAAGAAATACATGCACGAATGTGTGGACCCCACGTGAATGGCTTCACCTTAAGTAAGAAGGTTTTAAGAGCTGGATAATTTTGGATGACCATGGAAATAGATAGTATCCGCTATGAGTAGAAGTGTCACCAGTGCCAGATCCACGGGGATTTCATCTGGGTTCCGCCTAATGAGCTAAACGTAATGGGTTTGCCCTAGCCTTTTGTCGCTTGGGGCATGGACGTAATCGGACCTATATAGCCCACTGCATAAAATGGGCACTGTTTTATCTTGGTAGCAATTTATTACTTCACCAGATGGGTCGAAGCTTCTACATACAAGGCCGTCACAAAGAAAGTAGTGGCATATTTCGTCCGTAACAACATAGTCTGTCGGTTTGGGATACCTGAGTCGATCATCACTGACAACACAGCCAATCTCAACATTGATCTCATGAGGGAAATTTGTGAGAAGTTCATAATTGTCCACCGTAACTCTACAGCCTACAGACCACAAACGAATGGAGCAGTTGAAACAGCCAACAAAAATATCAAAAGGATTATGCGAAAAAGAGTTGACAATTATAAGCAATGGCACGAGAAATTATCCTTCTCCTTACTGGGTTATTGGACCACCATGAGGACATCCACTGGGGCAATGCC